GAAATTCATGTAAGATTTTTGGTAGCTTTGTAAGAAGAAAGTTCCAGTTATGGAAGGTGCTGTCACTAACACTAAGATTCTTTCTCAGGAGTCCTCTTTCTCTCCTCCAAGGTTGATCTACTAAATGAGTTCTTTCCCAATAAGATATCACATCCTTTGCTAAGAATCATTTATATGCTTGGGTGAAAGTCAATACATGTTATGAAAATGATTATACTGTCACTCTTATGAAGGAATGATTACCAGCATCAACTATTTTTAAAGCATGGATCAGACTAATTAAGGCCATCGTAAATGAATTTATGATGAAGAGCTGTGCTGAAGACAACATAAAGCAGTGACAGTCACTGACTATAGTCATTTCTCTTTCTGTCTAACATATTCCACCCACCTACCTCCCTCTCACTACTTTGTGAGCATTGATTAGTTGACAGACATTCGTTAGACACTGGGCATGAAAAAGAGCATGAACTAGAGTTTCTGCCTTCATATTGTTTACAATCCACGATTAGCCACACAAACATATGGGGTAGGGCAAAAGTAGGTTTACAGATCACATAGAAAGTAATACAATAATACATGATAATACTGCGTTTCACATACTGACAACTGTAAACCTACTTTTGACAGACCCTGTATAGTTCTTTTTACACACAGTCCATATACCTTTCCCTGGCTTAGGCATGAAAAATAGTTTTGCAAAGAATCAGTAAAAGGGGAAGCTACCTGTGGGTTGAATAACAAAGGGCAAGAAAAAAGCCTAGAGTGTGTGGGTTTATATGGAAAATGGTAACTGAGAAATCACTGTGAGGGTCAATATGCTGTCACTGTATCACAATATTAATCTTGCAAAATCCTAAACTCCATATAAATGATCAATACCAAGAGAATATTCATTAACACAATCAAGTATGTGTTGAGCAAAAGGGTTAAGAATGTGGGAGATAGAAAAAAGAATAACACAACCCTTATCTTTAAGGAATTTAATGCTTACGTAGCAAAGCCATAAATTCATGCCAAGACACACAGGTCAATGCAAGCAGTGTATGAACACCAAGTGTGGCCAATACATCTGAGGCAGGAAAAGCCTCAGGATGTGAGGATGTCTATCTATCCCTGGAACTGGGCACCTCATCAATTATTTGCTCCACAACAGAAAGACCTAATCATTTGTTGTGAGGAGGTTATTAAGGAAAGAAATGATGGAAAACTCTATGTAGGCTGTATATAGTAAAAGTTAGCATACTGGTCAACTGGTCAACCATGTGGGCAAAAAAAAAAAAATCTATCATAACAGGATTAAAAGGGCTAAAGAGATAGGCCCCACCCAACTGGATCCTCAGGACAGGGCTGTTCATGCTGGGGGTAGGAAGGTCAACTCAGTTATCCTCTAAGAACATCAGTCTCGAGTAGTTGGTCCTATTTTATAAGTAACCTCTTGCCAAAATAAAATGTTCAAAAATCTCCCATTAAATTAGTAAAAGGGAGTCTCATGGCATCTATTTTTTTCTGCAAGTTTTCAACCCATCAGGTAACCTAAGTGACTCTACAGACACAGCTCCTGATTTATACGAGATGCTCAGTAAATGCTGGCTTCCTTCTCTCCAAACCCAACTACCACCACATTTCATTAGCAATAAGAATGAATCACTGCTATTCAGTACTGGTAGTAAATACATCCCCTTTGTGACAACATTTTGCCTCCTTCATATATGACGATGACATTGTTATATACAGAAAGACAATAACTTATGCTAACCTTTTAAAAATTGGGTCTCAAGTTTACTTTCCAGATCACTTATAAGAATGGAAATTTGATCTTAAGAAGCACCTTAATGTTAATGAAAGATATATTTACTAACTATTCTCAAATTTTTTGTTTGTAATGGGGGCAGGGGCTACCTAAAAGACCAGTAGTATTCCTAGTTATTACTTCAACAGAATGAAAGGGAATGGCAACCATGGTCAGGTCCAGTAACAGGGACCCCGGGAATGCCTGTACAAAAAAAGACAGCTGATTCAGGTGCAAATATATGAAATATTTGCCATAAAATCTACCAGAATTTTGGAGGAGAGATTACAAAGGAAATTCTCTGATATTTTAAAAAGTTGTGGCACATTTTTTAAAATTTTGTAACTGCGGGGGGCTAAGGGAACCCCTAATAATACATTTTGAGACAGCTGTACCTGTTCTCTGTAGCAGGCAGAAATCACATTGTACAGGGTGAAAAAGGAAAGGAAAATTTTAAAAGTGGCACTAATCTCTATTTCCTTTGTTCTAAGGCCTTTCCCTCACAAAAATTTTAAAAAATTATCACTTAGATAATAAGACTTAATAACACTAAATTAATCTAAATTGCTGTTGCTAGATATCTTTAATTGAAAGAAAATTAGACTGTTTTATGTAACAGAACATTAACCCTTAAAACTTTCATGATAAACCCACTCCAATAAAAATTACACACTTCAAAAACTGACTTGAATAAGTGGCCACAGAATTGCTCGGTTGTTCTATTGTGGAAAAGTTATAAAAGCAAAGCTGAATGCAGAGGAGTTTAGCTATAGACATTGTTACCTAATTTGGCTATAAGGATTATTGTGGCAACAGTAGTTTATTTTCATATACAGATTTTTAAAGGGCAGCTTTACATCCTAATTTAGGTAATTAGGAAAAAAGTCAGTTTAATCAGTTTGTACTAATTTAAAAAAATAAAAATTTCAGAATGCTTTTTAAAATCTAATTCTGTTATTTTTTAGAAGATAAATAGGGATCTGGGTGTCTGGGTAAGTAAACATTACTACATTTCTGAAAGTATATTAATAGATAAATTTATGTTAACTAATTAGAATTGTAAAATGCTTGTTTTCTTTAAAAAATGTGTTCACTGAGGTTTAGTAATTTCCTTAAACACTTCAAACTTTCTTCTTACAAAATAGTTTATAGCATGAATTTGCAATTTTTCCAACAGTGCAAAAGTTAACTTATCTACATCCCTCTTAATGATCAGAGATTTCAAAGTCATCAAGATTTACTATAGTAACCAGAATTTTCTTCTTTATAAAACTACCAAATTTATTTTTTATTTCTCATGACAAATATGTTAATTTGTTTGAAAGTCTTTTGTTACTATATAGAGCGGTGACCTTTATCCAAATGACTGTTCCTCTGACAAACCTGGCCTGTGTGTCCTTTACTGGAACACAGTAATGATGCATTTGTCTGCTCCTCCATTTCCACCTCTCCCTACCATTTGCCGCTTTCCACCTCCAGACAGCAGGCAAGGCTATTTGTCTGCCCCAGCTTAATATGTAAATCCCTCCATGCACATGGAGGATGGGGTATCTCTTCTATCACATTTGCTACCTCAAAATACTTTCTACTATGTGATGGTAAATTCTAATTTGGCTCTGGCCTTGTGTCCTATGTTAATTGTTTTTTAAGAAATGTGGACTGTGTCTTACAGTTTTTTATGCATACCTTCCTACTATGTGTACCTATGTATTAAGATGCAGGTGTACAGCCTTTATTAAAAAAAAAAAGATTATTCAGAAAATTTGAAGTAAGGTAATTGTAAATAATCCTAAACCATTGACTATCTACAGTACCATTTTAATTTATATGATTTAAAGTGAAGTGCTGAGAAAAGTTTGTTATTTGGATCACATATACTTTCTTTACACCAAGGATAAATGAACCTTTTTTCCCTATTGAGTTAAATAAAAAGCTTTGGAGTTTGTTTGTTTGTTTTTAATGGCAAGCTTATGGGATTAAAATAATTATATTAATTTAATTGAGTATCCAGCAGTAATAATATATAATAGTTGAAAAATACATAGGAAATCGATTTTGTCAGATAACATAATTTTTGGTGATATATAGTGGTAGAAATAAATATTTTTAATTTAATTTTGTCACAAAAGGGGAAAGAAATGGCAGATGGGAGAAAAGGGGCTATGGTAGAAGCAACAGAAAGGGGAAAGGAAGATGTCAATAAAGGCTGACACCTCCGAGTAAAGATAGAATGTTTGTGGTGGGTTAATTGCAACATCACACAGTACAACACGTTCACATTGGTGATCACATGTGCTCATTACAAAACCCTGGGATATTGGCAGGTGCAGTTACACTAAAGAAGTGGAAGAATTGAGCCCGAGAGAGGTTAAACAACTTGCTTAATGTCCACAGCAGGCTAATGACATAGATAGGTTTTGAACCCAGGTCCCCAGACACCGTGCCCAGTACTCTTTCTTCTGTGTGGCCTTGCATCTTCAAAAAACGGAAAAGTTATGTGTTATTTTGCCCTACTTTGTTCCTCTTCTTCTGTTCTTAATCTTGGTTCATTTATCCCTCAGCTGATTACTTTGCTCTGATAACTTTGCCTGCATTTTCCTTACTAGTACATCAAAGCACAGATTTAATTTTTACTGTATTTACCAAATTCAGCAGTGAACAGAAGAACTTGGTTACTGGTACTGACTCACATTTTGTAACGTATACCAGATACCATGCTATGCCCTATAGTTTATAGTAACTCTAGGCATTTTGGTGGTGTTCTCAGTCTACAGAAGCTAAGGCTGAGGCCCAGAGATGTTATGTTCTCCATTTCTGGTCTCCATCCTTGGTCACTGTAGCCCTAAGTGGAAATGTTAGGGTTTGAACTCAGTTTTTTGTTGTTTTTTTTTTTTTGTCTTCAAAGCCATTGACTCTTTCCATGACAAATAACTCCCTCTCTCCACCAAGGTCAGACAGCTTTTTATATACTAATAAAATCATGAGGGTTAAAAAATAAAAAAATGTGTTGCCTCTGTACCCTCATCCCACAAAGAACTTTTTAGTAAATGAATTCATGCCCTGAATTGTCATTCTTCTATGAGGAAAGCTATCGAAGATACTAGAAGTATTTTCAGTCATTTTCCAAATGGGGTGATGATGTGAGGGCTATTAGAACATTTTCAGTCTATGTATTTATTAAAACCTGTGATCTATTCTTTATTTATAGTATAAAGATGCATTTATGAAAGCAAATCCTGGCTACAAATGGTGTCCTACCACAAACAAGCCTGTGAAATCCCCAACACCCGCTGTCAATCCACGGAAGAAATTATGGGCCTTCCCATCTGACTCTTCAAAAGACTTGCCAAGCCCCAAGAAAGCAAAGACTGAAGAAATGCCTCAGCTGAACTTTGGAATGGCCGGTGAGTTTAGATACTATTTCTATCTGTTCTTCAAGGACAGGCCAATACATATAGGCAGTACTTTTCCAAAATAATACGAAGAGAGAGAGGGAGAGGGAGAAAGAGAAGCAAAATATATGACCAGTGGGAAATGATGCCATGTATAATATAGCATATCTTAAAGCTTTGGACCATAGCATACATAGAAGGAGTATATATCATTAAAGAAAGGAGGGATAGACCAAGTGGTAAAGTCACTATACATATATGTGAATTCCTGACATTGGCATTATGGAAAAGCGGACAGCAATGTGAAGATTGTTAGAAGTTCAGGAAATTTATAATGTAACAAAATAGTTTACAAACATATACACAGTAAGCTATCTCAGTAAGCACCTTAGTTATTGTGAATACTTAAAAAGCCACAATTATGTAGGTCATCTGAGGATGTGAAACATCAAGGGTAAGAATATGAGCAACTTCATCACAGATGTCAGATGGATCTGACAGCTGTTTCTTAGAGGGTAACTCCCAGTCTACCCCACTCCTGTCCCCATTCCTGTATGGGCCAAGCAAATTTAAAATTCCAGATGGTCCCATTTGTTATGAGACCTTTAATACTCTTTGGGTGGTAAGGAATGCTGAAGCATTTATAACCGTGAGATAAAGTACTTACACATCCTGTAAATGGCTCCATCTTCCCTGGCTATTGCAATATGGTACTCAAGAGAGGAATTTTCCAGGATGAAATTGAGAGATTGGGCAGGGTGGAAGCAATGAAGTTGATATTGAGCTATAGGGTTCCTATTTCATTATTACAAGCACTGAACCATTGGTAATATGGAAATCAAAATTGAACAATATCGTGATGATACTTCCCTTTTTTTTAATAGCCAGTAGGCCAAATTGATTTAATAGTTTAGTGTATGATTCATAATATAACAAAGTATGTGGTGGTATCATATATAAACCTAACAAATGCATCCTAATACAATAGCAGCTTGCTGTTGTATTGTAGAGAACAAAGCCTTGGAGAACAAAGCCTTCAGGTAGTTGTTATGTTAGGTGTGTAGTATAACTCTAAGTGAGCTTCCAAAATGATACTTCTGCATACCTCAGGAGAATCAAAACAGATCTTTGCTTGTTTTAGCTGTCACTTCGTACAATTTTAGCTTCAAACCACTTGCTAGTAGTCTTGGTGAGCATTCTGGACTTAGATTGTATCAGTTGGAGTGTTTTATAAAAACATTTTATTATCAGGACCAAAAAAGAATATGTGGATGATTTGCTTCCAACAGAACTCTTTCGATTATTATTATCTTCAATTGCTTTTTCTTCCAATTTTAAATCTAGGGCAGTCTGTAATAGGTTTTTTTTGCATTCAATGGCTCGTTACAAATCAAAAATAATTATAGATAAATTACAGAAAACTATGAATGATGTCTGTTTATAGCATCATTTCTGACAGTTTATTAATCTACCTTTTATACCTACAAATTAGAAGTGGGACCTAGATTTCAACCAAGATATTTACAGGACAGCTTTTAAAAACTGTGTTCTTTATAGCAAAATACAGGAAAGAAAAAAAAATCTTTCTTACATTTATCTTATTATGTAAGGGCTTGTGATGGATGTTGGAGATCTAAGATCAGAGCCCTTGTGAAATTAGTATATAATGTGTAACATCGGTCTGAGATTTTCAGCTATTTACTTTTCTATACAATGAAAGCAAATTGATTTGCCTTTAATTAAAACATGGGCCTTAGCTGTTTAAATCTAAGGGCTACTGGAGGGCATTTGGAGGCCAGTTTAAGCTTTCCCTCAGCATGAAATCTCACGTTTTGTTTTTTTTCCCCAATAGTTCATGTCACATGACACTCTGCTGTTTTGAATAACCTCAAAGCAGTCAGTTGAATGATTTCCAAGAAGGGAAAGCTGTGTAGAATTTGATTTAGTACAAGCCCTCTTAGTGAAAGGAAAGTAGACTCTTTATATAAATTTTTGATATTTCTAAATAATACCATATAAATATAAATTAATATAAAGCATGATGGTAATTTCTTGGTCTGTGTTTTAGTATCTATACAGCAAATTTCTTGGAAAGTCTCATTGATACGTAACTTAAATAAAATTACCGTATAAGCGTATCCCTATTTTACTTTATAATCTGAGCTAACAGATTTTTATCTTTATCCGGAAAGCGGTCATCCAGGCCTCCTAATCTCTAAAATGTAGCTTCAAATGTATTTAGCTCCCCAAAGAACCAAATTTAACTTTTCCATTTTGCTAAACTCATTTCCCCCTCCTGATTTTTATTTTTAAATAGATTTAAGAATCTATTTTAACAGCCTCAATAGTTCTTAACCAGCAAAAAGCTATGTTTCTTCAAATCTGCGTACTCCTACATATTCTATATGTGTGTCTTCCTTTGTGGTTACCTTTTAACATTAAGCCTGGACCACCTGATTATTTGGTGACATATTTCCCACTCTAATAACCTCTTCCTTTTTATTTTTTAACTACCTGAAATTTCTTTTCAATTTTTTTAAAAAATTGTATAAAAAATATGGTCAGGGTTGCTTCATGAGTTCTCAAGATAGATTGTATACAAGGATATACCTAAGGTCATACCTTTAAACAAAAATTCAAAAAAGAAAAAGAAAAGAAACTCCTGAATGTCTTTAGGCAACAGTATACCTCACCTTCATTTTTAATTGTAGACTCCGAAATTTAAAAATTCATTTATTGAGGACCTACATGCATTGTGATAAGCACTGAGTTAGGCATTTTCACATATATTATTTAATTGCATTTCTGAAATTTAATACATATAAGGCAGCCTTAAAGAATATAGGTTTCTAATTGTGATACTTTCTTTGTTTATATATAACCTGGGTCATAGATCTACCACTTTGCTGTTTTTATTTTTGTCTTTCTGTTTCTGTTGATTATTGAAGGAATGAAAGCAAAGACCTTCAGTAATATAAAAAGGATTCATTTTAAGAAGGGCCTGACTATACCCCTAAGATTTAATATGTCAAAAAGGCATCATTTTTAATTTTAAGTTTTAAAGAAAGATTATTTGAACAAAGCCTTCAGGTTTTGCAGGCCTGTTTGCAAAATTTTTCTCTGTTCTCTAGTTTCTGATAGCCTGGTTCCTTTTATCAGCCCTGATTTTACATAGAAGAAATAACAATTTGAGGATAACAATCTCAAACTTCTTAGAAGATAAGTATAAGAACTCTTCTGTTAAAAAAAAAAAAATCCATCTATATTCCCCATGCAGTAAGGAAAGAAACACCACATAAAGGAGATAATTCATGTTATAAACAGCTATGGTGTTGAAGAATGTATTACGTTGGAATGGTGGGACAACAGTGGTATTTAAAATGCTGACAAAAGTTGAGTACTAAGTACATAAATGCCAAGCATAAAAAGTTTTGAATAGTTTTCTATAGAAAAGTTATATGTGATTCTGCTGGGTTTCTGATTGCTGCTCTTTGAGTTTTCGTTTTTGACTCTGTGTGGATTATACGTACTTCATGTCTGTAATTGATGATTTATTTGTTTTTGACTTAGATCCTACTCAGATGGGAGGACTGAGCATGCTGCTTTTAGCTGGAGAACATGCTCTTGGCACATCAGAGGTAAGTTGGTTCCTCACCCTCTCCATTCTACTCATGCAGACATTTGTAGTCTGTTCACACTGTTAATTTTGCACATTCACTATTTATATCTCATGAACAGACTTTACTTTTGTTTTCATTAAGCTGTGTGTATGCATTATATTTTGCCTTGTGGGTAACAGAAGTGGTGTAAATGAGCCCGATGAGACACAAATACAACAAATCAGGTGCAGATTTTGAGGGTCCCTGAGACTAGGAGTAAGAAATGGAATTTACAGGTATTAGCACTTGCCATGACTTTGGTCCTGGGTCTGTAGAGTGGGTCCTCTGATTCATTCACCTCTATTCATAACATTCCCTACTTTTGTGATGTTCTCATTTAGACTTGCTAGGGAAAAGATGAGGTATTTCAAAGCATGAAACTGTCCATCTCTTTGGTACCTGAATAAATCCAAACTTCCATTTTAGAAAATCAAGAGAGACATAGTATTCCAGGTTGTTTTATTCTTTAAAATGGAAATGAAAAGGACCCAGGCCCTTATGACCTTGGTTTTATGATCTTTTATTCCCTTGTATAGTTATTGGTCTGCTTATGCTAAACATTTTTAGGTATGGTTTTGATGGGCAGGTAGTAGCACTTAACCATGCATAGTTTGCATTTGTGGAATTCTTCACTTTTCCAGACTCATTTAACAGAGACCAGATGAATTAACCTGAAGGTCATGTTATTTCACCATTCTTGGGAACTTGAGATGGAAATTTTTCAATTCCCAACCAGAATTGCTATGTAGGGCAAAATAGCAGTCAGCTCAATTTTATTTCATATATATATATATGATCATCATGAGTGTGCCACACAGATAACGGTTGAAGTCTATTCAAAGAGTGATTTTAGAAGATATCATGTAAGATGTTTACATCACAAAACTCTTTTACTATAAATAGTTTACATTTGGGATCCATAGTAGTTGACCAAATGTTCAGTCATTCATTATTTTTATTTCATTCAATTCAATGGAGCAAAAAGTAAGTTGGTAGACTGGTAGTTATTTACATTGCACTAATCTTCAGCTGGAAAAAAGTAAACATGTCACTGTGTGCCTCTGCATACTTATTCAGCATGTTTGCACTTCCTAACATTATAGTGGTTTTTGAGCATCATTTCATTTTCTAACACATGGCTTCTACCTAATAGCAATCAGACTAACTCTCACTTGGGTGTAGATCGCCCAAGCATGTCCTGAAAGGTGAATGTGAATGTTGGAAAAATAATGCACACTTGACCTTTCAACACGGTCTGGCTCATAATTTCCAACCATGCGTTGTATTGAGAAAGTCGGCATCATCTTTTCTAGCAGATTATGTCATAATGATGTTTTTCTTCCCAACATCTATTAACATTCTTTCTAACTTTCAGAAACAAATGTAACCGATAAATATCTATAGAACTTACAGATAGATAAAAATGCTAGTTAAACAAAAGAATGCTTCTTTCCTTTTGCTTGGTTTGACTCCTGGGCTCTTTTTAGTGAGAATTTCTCCCCACTTTTCGAAAGAGCAGAGTTCTGACACAAGTAGTGTTCAACCTTTTATTTCTGATGAAGGGGCGGGGGGTGGTGAACCATTTTGAGAATTCTCAAGCTACAGAAACAAAGCTAAATGGCTTTAAGAAGTGAATCATATAGAAGGGAATCAGCTAAGGAGGAAGTTGCCAGCAGTTAGGTCTTTACAAACTACTTCTAAGAAGAAATTTTTTATACCGACTTGCTTTTTCAAATGATTTATTTCTTGTTGCTTTAAGGAAGGGAAGTACTTAATAAAGTGACAAGATAATATACATTCAGTGCAATCATATGATGAGGGAAGTGAGGAATGGAAAAACAATACAAACTAAGGGTATTAATAAGAAAGATGCTTAGACATAAATAGAAAAAAAATTAGTTTTAAACAACTGCTTTTATAAGGAAAAACTCAACAGCCATTTCCAGTCACTTTTATTTCTTACCATTTTGGGTGGGATGTTTGAGATGTTTATCAAAATGAAGTTAGCTTTTGACAATGTAAATATATTTTTGACAATCTAAATGAAAACCACTGTCCACTGTCCATTTTAGGTGAAACTGCCCATCCTGCCCAGCCTCTTTCATCTGTCAGCACTGAGGCTCTCATAGCCCAGAGAATCAGGTCCTTTTACCCAACTTGATTGACAAGCATCTCCCAGGATGCATTGCTTAAGACAGTGATAAACTTTCATGAGTTCTTCAGTCCTCCAGAGATGGGTGGAAGGGGATAGAAGCTGTTTGCAGAAGTGGCCTGTAGTTTGTGCTGGACTTCCATACTAGTGCTCTGCCACACAGCTTGTAATAATGGGAGAGCTTCACTCACTGCATGAAATCAGTAATCTGGTGCCCTGAGTAAAACCGGGGACTTTTTCTTTCAGCCAGATGATTTGACATATATTCTAATTTGGGGAGTGCTCAGTTCAGTGCGGTGTTTTTTGGTTATGCTCTCCAGGATAGCCAGCCTAGTACCCTCCTTAGCTGTAGCTCAGCCCTGGTATCAGCCAGCCAAGTGCAGCGCTTTAGTACCAGGTTCTCCTTAACCTAATTTAGGTTTAATTAAGAGTGGCTTTATTTTAGTCCTTAAAAACATTTTGAAGGATTATCTTGGCTGTAATATGCTTACATTTAATTCACCTGTGTTTAAGATCAAGTCCATTTCAGAGCTTCATTTACCATATCATACTAACTGCAAATAAATAATCCCTCAGGCACTCTGTCACAGAAGGACACCTGGCAAAAGCCACCAGCTTTATGAAAGGCCGGGTCAGACTGAATAAGGGTGAAAGTCAGATCACTGGACGTTGGTGTCACACACTTGGTCTCTGAAATGGAATCTACCCCCAGACCCTCTCTTCCCATAGCAGACAAACCCATATGCCACCCACGCCAAAATCTTCCTTCTTTCAAATTCCCTCTTTTAATGTAAGGCTTTAAAGCCACCTTAGAAACACTGGCACTGTCTGACCTCTCTTCCTTTTCCTCAGCTTTAACATCCTTCTAGACAATTACTGAGGCCTCAAAAATACCATCCCTGTTTAGTTGGGGCCCCACATCTCAGCTGGTTTATTTCCTTAACCTTCTAATTGGTCTTTTGTCTCCAGTCACTCCCCAGCCAAGGTCATCTTTCATTTCCCTGACAGAATTATCTGACTGCACATCTCTCATTATGCAGCTCCTCTGACTGAAAACCTTGGCTGGCTCCCCATTACCTTCAACTTACTTTTCATACTTAACATAGAATTCAGATCCTCTCAGTCTGATTCATCTCCCATTACACTCCCAGACATTGTAACCTTCGGCCACCCTGGAAAAGTCACTCTTTCTCACACATACAGAACATTTGCTTTCATACTTTACTTCCTGTTGTTGCCACATCATTTCTACAATTCTGATGTTCCTTCTAGGTATATCTCAGATGTTACTTACCTTCTTCCACCCACCCCCAGAAAGAATGGAGGCCACTTCACTGTCTTCCCATCGACCTTGTACTATTCCACCATTATGCACTTGCATTCTTATATCTGTAGCTTCCTCCTGCATTTGAACAGCAGGCAAGTTAAGGGCCAGACACATTCCCTTACTCTATTTCCCAGTGGAATGTAAGCTTCTTGAAAGCAGCAGTCATTGGGACTGACACATAATAGGTGTTTACTAAATATTTGTTGAAGGAATGAGTACTCAGTAAATACTTGAATTAGCAAAGGCAGGAATGTGTAGTTCAGATACAACACCTACCCCTTTTGTTGATTGTGTTCATCACAATCCACCTGTGAGTGGCTGTGGTCCTGTACCTTGTGAAGTAGGAACAGGTTCTTGATAATACATAGTTTTTCAAAGTACTTGCAATACATTTGACTGGTGTGATCTTGTTTTATATCAGGGGCCTGGATCATGTTTCTCTTTTAAAGGTTTTCAAGATCTGAATTGCATCTGTGGGGAAAAAATACTACTTCATCACAATTCTTAATTATGCTAATCATTCCTCTTCCTTGGTTATTGTGAATTATCGCTAAATCAAAGGGAAGATTGGGTTTAAAGGAAGTTGAATATGTGGTTAACTTTCCTTTTGAAATCCCTTTAGCTGTTTTCTTTCTTGGGTATATAGCTACACCTAGTGGCTTTATGGGTTATTTCAGAGACTATTTCTAGAAACAGCTTACTGGGTTTTTTCTCCCTTTATTTAACCTCTGCTTATTTAGTGTCTTTTTTCCCCTCCTAATTAATGATCAAATATCTTAGACTCTTTATATTCTATTATGTTCATACTAGGAATGGATACTGAGGAATTGATGTTTTTCCATAAAAAAAATCCCCACCAGATAAGTGACTTAGAGCACTGTAAATGCAAACAGCAAGGTGACAAGGCCTGGAATCCTCTGACTAATAACACTACTGAAATAGGAGGCTTTTGTGGGAAATACTCTCTTCACTTTATGTGGATGTAATCCCAGATTTCTTTACCGAATATGTGTGTGCATATTATTGCATGCACAAATATTCAGCTTGCATTGGATGCCTTATTTATCAAGCACTGAAGAATGAATTCTACATGTATACATCTTCCATGCCATTGAACCATTTTTACATTTTGAGATTTTAGATGGAAATACATCTAGTATGTATCACATGCATTTCTACCTTTTAGTAATGGATGTATTTTATAATTCTTATCCTGACAACTTAGTATCATAGTTACAAATATTAATTACTGCAGTGAACTGATGCCTTCAGGAGAAACTTTTGGGCCATTTGCTTACTTTACTTTCTGTTAGACCACAATATTTTATGAGCATTTTGTCTTCTTTTCGGCTTTTCTCTTGTCTCCCTGTGTCTCCTTGCTGCTGGTACTGTTTTTTCTCAGCCTTCTTCCTTTTTCTGAACCCCACTCATAGCCCTGTCTGATTTGCTGCTTATATTCTTCTGTAGACTAAAGAGTCAGGTGATCACATAGTTGACACCCATTTCTCCTGGCTACTAATTTTGTTCTCTCTCCATTTTACTGCACTGAAGATTTATGTTAAATCCACATTGCTTTAACTTCAGAGTACCTGGGGTTTTTAGAGAGGACATTGTTAACGTCAGAGTACCTGGGGTTTTTAGAGAGGACATTGTCCACTAGGGTAAAATGCATAGCCTTAGTGATTCTGTTACTGTTGTCTTTAACTATAGGACAGCCTTTGTTGTGAGAATCTTAACATTCACACATGCAGAGAATCAAGTCAGTCAACAGATATTCATTGTTCATCTGCTATGCATCCAGGTGCACAGTGGGCACAAGCACACATGCATAGTAGACTTCGATTGCATAGTACAATTGACATAACATGTGCAGTATTATGCATACCCTGATAATTATTTGCATTTGAACTCTCCACTTAAAAAGAAAGTTTTATTTAAGACCATCAGAACAATTTGCAGAGTCTCATTTTACTTTAAAACTTTATGGCTTGTATACTTATGGCCAAATAATCTATACATGCCACTTAAAGAGAGTTGATCTTTCTTCTTATAGTTAGTATGAACTCAAAGCCATAGGGTAACTTAACTCCTTATAAGTGGTAAACTATTTCTCATGCATCATGGAATCTGAAATTAAAAAAATATATAGCCCTGGCTGGTGTGGCTCAGTGGACTGAGGGCCACTGGCCTGTGAACCAAAGGGTCGCTGGTAGATTCCCAGTCAGGGCACATGCGTGGGTTGCGGGCCAGGTTCCCAGAAGGGGGTGCGCGAGAGGCAACCACACATTGATGTTTCTCTCCCTCTCTTTCTCCTTCCCTCCCCCTCTCTCTAAAAATAAATAAGTAAAATCTTTTTTAAAAGTTCTCCATTTAAAAAATTTAAAAAATATATACATTATATAGGCTTTATGCAGTACAGCTACCTTAAATGATAATATATTTAATTTGAAGTATTTTTTCTAAATTTATATCATGGGTACAACTAACATTAAAGTTTCATGAAGACACTTTATCATTTTCATTTATTCTTCTGCTTGATTTTAAGTCAAATCTTGATAATTTACCAAGATATCTAGGGGCTAAAGACACAAGATTTCTTTATAAACCAGGACAGTTTTGATTTTTTTTTTTTTTTTTCATTATTCCTACACTACAATATGAGGATATATTTTGTTCAGGTGCTCATTCTAATAAGGAATTTTTTGTGGCTTGTAATTTCAGGATTTGCTGACCTTCTTTTTAGTACATTTAATGTTGGGGAGCAAATAAAAACACTACCGGGCCATTAGGCACGCAGCTTGTCAGTCAAGTGTCAGTAAGGGAGTCAGGCTGACCACAGGTAGCAAATAGATTGAAGCTTTGCATCTTCTCTGTGAAGCTTGTCTCTGAGAGAAGGTGGCCATTACTCTTTCAAATCCAAAAGTGACAATTAAAATTTCAAATGTTTGTCCTTTCTTAAGGTCCTTTGACACTTTGAGAATCAGATCGCCAGTGTCTAATAAAGGGGTTCAGTTAGAAACTGTTTACAAGAATATAACGTGGATGACTCTGATCTCTTTCCATTGGATTCAATCATCTACTGTAATCACTAGCAGCTATTAAAATTACATTAGAAAAGGCTTAATGACACTGGATAATTCATGTATTTTTTTAAGAAGGACATTTTAAAACTAGTACAATATTTCATTTTTATTGAAAATATTACCTATATACACAACTGGAAGAATATACATGGAATATTAACTGTGCTTATCTTTAGGAGATAATATTGTAGAAGATTTTCCTGCTGTGTGTGTGGTATTTTTAAGATTTTCACAGTGTACTTGGATAGTCTCTTGTCAGAAATGTTCATGGTGGTATGAAATATTGGAGAAACAGAGAACATGAAAGAAGTAGATAATTCTTTGGATTTGGTGGCAGAAAGCCAAGAGATTGAATAGGCATCACTGTAGAAATTTTTCTTAGGTGACTATTAATTTTCTAAAATGCATTGTCTTGCTCATCTGCTATTTATGGCCTTATTTCAAGTCGAATGTCCCCTTGTATAAAACTTTCCAGAATATAACTACTTTTTTGTCACAGTATTGCCTCAAATTGGGACAATCAAAACCATTCTTTCTTCAAATAAGAATGTTTTAGGTGGCATTTTTCTTCTATTGTGTTCCAGAAACTATTCCTGTGATGCTTCATATCGTCTCTCTTTGTTTCAGATGTCCTCTGGCACTTGCAGGCCCGATGTTTCAGAATCCCCTGAGTTGCGTCAGAAGTCACCATTATTTCAGTTTGCTGAGGTAATATATTGCAATTTTTACTTAATAAGGAATTTGTAAAATGAGCTTAAATTTAAGCTAATGACAGTAACTTAAAGCAATGAAGAACTCTGCCTAGCTCAATTAACCGTGAATGGGAAAATAGAATGAAATTTTTGAAAAGATATTTTTGAACTCAAGTCTCTTAATTAAATAATAACTATATGTTTATAAAAGCTCATTATTAAATCAAGCTGAATATTAGTACACTTAAGCCTCATCAATACTTCTTATTCGTGGATAGTAAAATTAAGAATATAATTGAATTATTTCTAGAGCTTAGTCATTTATCAGGTGTTAAGTCAGAAAACAGGAGCAACTCATGATTGTTCATTGGCTATGCGTTTTCTTTTTTTTGTTTGTTTGTTTGTTTCAGTATTCTTTTCATTGAAACTTGAGCATGCAGCAACAGTTTCTGAAGTCTTACTGTCTTGTCAGACCTGTTGGGCTCAACACATCTCTAACATTAGTTGAAAGAGATGATTTAGAAAAACACTTATAAAGTGTAAAGGTTAGGACTGCTTCCCAAAATATCTTCATTTACTCTAGAACTCAATATGGAGCCATCATTGATTAATTTTTTTCTGAACTTGAAAGCACATGGTCTTCCCTTAATCACTTGAATTGTCTTTCACTAGACCTTCTCTCTCATTGCACCTTCCTAACATTTCCTTGTTGTGTAACAGTTTCGTACAAGGAGAGTGTATTTTTAGTTTCCGATTTTTTTTTTTTCCCCTCTCTAGTGTCCTTTTCCTGGTGGTTTTCGACATTTTCATTGGCAAACTGCTTTTTACAGTGGCATATTAGGCCATTCCTTTTAAGACACTTTATAATAAGCATAAATGACGTGCAGAGAGTATAGGACTGTTACACATTTGCTGACATAACACTCCTTATCCATCACTTTCCTTTCTGCCTCTTTGTGAGATGTGCCATGAATTCCAATTGTTTTGTATATTGTTTCCTAAAGCATTAATGTAATAAAAGATTCACTCTGCACTCCCTTTTCTCCAGTAGTTATAGATATGCTAAATAATGCTGGTCCCAACTTTGAAAGCAGAGGTGCTTAACCATTGGATGTCCAAACCTCTGAGGATCTAATGGAATTTCTAAATTTTACATGAAATTTGGTTGGATTGTCATATATACTTTTTTGTGGGTTCTACAGCATATGGAAGATTCCAAAGAGATTTCCTGACCCTGTTGTTTTATATAAAGGGTGCCTGATCTAACATTTCTTCAGGAGCTCCCTACTCATGTAATTAACTGAGTATCTTCTTTATCCAGATATTAATATGTAAAATACCCTTTCCTTGAGAAACTTGTGAAATTCTTTACAAAAATCTAGATGGATTATGCCACTGGTTCATTTTGTTGACTGATTTAAGCCTAGAAGAATGACATTTTTCCTTACACAAGCTGTTTATCTTCTCAGTCTCTAAGGAAGGGAGCACTGGTAGGAATGGAGTGTGGTGACTGAAGTAAGATCTACCCAGCTTATAATTCCTAGGACTTCAGGAAAATCCTTTTGGATTCATATTTGCAGTCTGTCACAACTTGCACATGGAGGTCTTTTGAAATGATAGGTTTCACGATTTGACCAAGAAAAGGTCTACAATTTTACCCCCAAATGTTTCCATTGTCTTCAGAGCACTTGGTTAAGTCTTACCAATTTATGATAGTTTGTTTATATCTAGTTTGTTAAAAAGTTTGGGAGATCTTTTTTCTTTATATTGATATTTATTCCAAACATGCTTATATGTCTGGCCCTGACTGGTGTGGTTCAGTTGGTTGGGTGGTGGTCTGCAAAACAAAAGGCTGCCATTTCGATTCCTGGTCAGGGCACATGCCTGGGTTGTAGGTTCTGTAGTCCCTGGTTGGAATGCATATGAGAGGGAACCAATTGATGTTTCTCTCCCTCTCTTTCTCTCTCACTGAAAAATAAAAATAAAAATAAATAAATAAACTTAAATGTCCGATTTAGAACTTAAAGTGGAATTAAAATTTTTCTGATGGCTTCAGCTGTGAAAAAAGATAGTGATTCCATCACTCTCTCTTATCCACAAATTTCTCATTGATACTATATCACCAACTGGTTTCATTATTTTTCTAACCAGTGTAATTTAATTGAGATTAAAAAGTGATTTTTGTGGGTTATGATTAAAGTACATTTTTTGCTTAATAAGTACCCTTTGATGGAGTTGGTGACCACAGCTAATTGAAGAAAAAGACTTTTATTGCACTGGGAATGGGCTGAATTTATATTGTCCAGGCTTTCTGCTCTTGCCACTCACTTTCACCCTATATTGTAGCTAGATAGAAGCTTGTTCACTTTGGAACCAAAATTAATAATTGACCTTGCTTTCAATTCTCAGAAAGTTTTTCCACATGGCCCTCAGAGCAAACTAATGAGGCTACCGTAATTACCAAGGGAAAACAGAAGGTCTCCTAAGTAAACCAAATGTGGTGTGGCAGAATCCTCTATCCACTCTCAGAAAACTGAAGAGTGTGTGTGTGTGCATAAGTGCAGTGTTACAAAAAAAAAAAAGAAATGCTGTTTATATTTGGTGAGCAATTTATTGAGTTCCAGTGCCATGGCTTATTTTCTCCTCATCATAATCCTGTAAAATGGAGATTATCATCACCATCTTCAATTTTGGGAAAAATAAGTGTCAGATTAGCTGAGCTGCCCAAGGTCATGTAGCTAGTGAGGAACAGATCCAAGATTCAATTCCAGATACCCTGACCCACAGCCATATGCTTCTCCAATATTGTTTCACAACAGCCTCTAAGCAGAGAACAGCTTGGGAGGAGGGGCGTGGTGTAGGGAAGAGAGACAGTGACTGGCTTTACTTGCAGCTTCCAGCTTTTAATAATATTTTAAGAAATTCATTCAAATAAGGAAAATCATTTCAACAGGTCTCAACTGCTGTTTGACACATAACCTGATACCCTTACAAGAGACATGGCAAATGAGCCAAACAGCCTTTTTGTTCTTTTCAATCATCTGTTTTTAGAAACATGGTCTTTGTCTTCCTTTATCATTTATACTGTTCTTCTGAAAGGGATTGAGGGTGATGACTCATGTCTTAATCTTTATCTGTGTCTACAGTGGAAATATATGGCAAAGTCTTTTAGTCTGATATGGCAATATGTCCTTGTGCATTAAAAATTACTTGTTTCTTTTCAGATATCTTCAAGTACATCCCACCCCGATGCTCCTACAAAACAGTGTCAAGCATCAGCCTTGTTTCAGTTTGCAGAGGTATGGCCGCCTTTTTTAAAAAATATTTATTGGGCTCAGAAAACTTAGAGCTCAGGAAATACTGGAATGAAGTTTTAGTAACATATAGTGACCTTTTGGCATGCCTCTTGCCATTCCTGACATAATACACATAACAATACTTACTGTTTTTTGCTATAATCATAGTCAGATAAGCTCCATATTTTATACCCATTTTATAGCCATCTACTAAAGAATTTATTCAGGATAAACACTTTTCAGTAATTGTTTTATTTCATTTTTGCCTTGTTTTAATTTATTTTTAAAGCTTGGTTAAACTGCTCTCAACATGAAATCCATAGTGTTACAATTTATTAAATTTTTCCAATAAGTGAGACTATATGCTGTAATTCATCAATAACTCTCACAGCAAATGCAGTGGTGAATCTGATCTGTTAAATCATCGGTGCTTAGCTTTCGCTCTGGTATAGCTTCAGCCAGTATTTTTATTAGTGTTTAATCCCAGGCTTAGGTCAGGTCAGCTCTTGCAGGATCTCAGATTTCTTTGGTTTGTCAGACAGAGAGAGAGCACACACTAGAGAGCATTTTTTTGGTTAGTATGATTAGGAGGCAAATCTGATATGCTTGATTTTTCTACAAAGCCCTAGCTTCCACTGTAGGCTCATTTCTAATGAGTACTATATGACAAATAATAAAGTGTATATAGTTCTTGAAAATAAAATAGTCTCTGCTTTAGGTCTTCCCCCCCTTTCCCTTTGTATTAATTCAGCAAAAAATGCACATCGTAAACAGCGGTTTTGTATAGGGTTGAGAGAAACCCTACTACAAGCAGGACTGATCTGATAAGTTTTAATATTGATATATTGAATCACTGATTCTTTATTCAAAGAGTGCTGCATAAATGAAATATAAAATGATGTCCTTTTGGCAGGAGAAAACCCAACATCTTACTTTGAAAATGAGAAAAATTACTTTGAGCCTCTACGTTTAAAAAAATAAATGCTGCTTTCCCTTGGGACAGTTGTGCCAAGCACTGCGACTTTATACCGCCAGCTGGCCTGCTTGTCTGTGAGGCCTCACTGCCACAGCGTTTCTATGGCTCTGCTATGAAAGTGGTAAAACAGTATAAAAATGGTTTCATTTAATGAGGAACAATTTGTTTGATGAATCTGAATAAATTAAGATTTTATTATAATTTTTCATTATGATAAACGGTATTTTCACTGTCCGGGGAAACAGTTTTGTGTACTATTTCCTTGCTTTCCTCCAGTTGTTGACATCCATTTATTTGATACTAATACTTTTTTCAAGAGTTAAAAATGAATTTTAGCATGGTGACTGAATTTATCTTTAATCTTAATACCTGAGTCAGTACCATCCAACTTTTTAGAAATAATTCCTTCAAAACAGAATGTATGTGCCACATAATCTGTTTGATTAAACTCTACACTCTAGCATGAATTTTAGAAAGGCAGTGGCTTACCTTTGACACACCTTATATTTAGGTAACTACCAAGACTATTCAACTTAATTTAAACATGTAAGTCTGAGATAGGTCAGCGGGTGCTGGTGCCTTTCTAACAGTTATCACCACCCAGTGTGATTGTCATTTAAGCAATACCATCATCAGATTTATTAGGGGCTCCTAAAGCCCTGGGCAACTCTGAAGGAGCAGTTAGATGGTAGAACAGCCTCTGTCCTACGATTCTGGAGGATGAGATTTCATGCCTTGCTTAAACAATTTAATTTGTCCTTGCTGCTCCGTATACTACTCACTCCTCAAAGCACAAGGTTCGTTGTTGTTTTTTTACCCCCTAGGGAAAGAAAAGGGTTCCTTCTGACTTGAGAGATGTGGGAAGAGACATTTCCAGATGTCACCCCTCTATTTAATAGTACTTGTTTCCTGAGGGCTTCTGGTTTTTGACCATGGGATCTATGGATGACTTGAGGAAGCTTAAAAAAAAAGTTGACTTGCAAACTTATTGGTGGTAGTTTCAAGAGTTCGTAGCAGAGGAAGGCATGCATGATGGAAAAATCAAAATAAAATGTTTTGCCCTAATACCAAATGCAATTCTCCCAACTCAGAATCTTATTTTTCCTATATATTTTTCCCAGGTTGATGTAAACACTTTAATTCCTAAGCAAACTAAACGAATTACTATGTACCTCATTATTGAGTTGTAAATAGTGTATGTGGCTATATAAGAGAAGTACTTGATTCACTCCAATATGTAACCTCTTCAGTCACTTCAGCTGACCCAAGAGAACCCTAAGATTCAGTCTCTTAACATTTTTTGAGTTGACCTTATTGTCAACCTAATTAGTACTGTCAACCTAATACTGGGCTGGTTTATTTAAAGCTAAACAAGACCTAACTAGATGAGCTAATAAAATTATCTACTAAAATTGGCTATGAGCATATATATTGCAGAAAGAGAATAGGCTGTAATTACTGTGATCATATCCCTAAAGCTCTTATAATTACTTCATAAGACACCCATCACCTTTGAGAAAACACACAGACTCTAGAAATTCTTGTTTTAATTAGTCTTTGTAGAAGTTCTCAAACTTTAAATAACACCAGAGTCTCCCTGAAGTCTTATTCAAACACAGATTGCTGAGCCCCACCCCCAGAGTTTTTGATTTACTCAGTAGGGAGCAGGTCCTGAAAATTTGCATTTCCAAAAAGTCTCCTACCAGGAAACAAGAGTTTGAGATCACTGCTCTGTAGTTTACAATTTTTACCACAAGTTGTTCATTCGTCATTATTAAGGCAGTTGCTTGTATCTCTGGGACCTTATAGGGAGAAGGTGAAGGGAGGAAGCAATGGACATCTAACAGAAAATTTCCCAGTGGAAATTTTACCACTTTATACCCCTGTCCCTTTTCAGAGGGATTCTGAGTCCTATTCTGTATACATGGAGAAAAGTGTTTTTTCTTTTTTAATATAATTTAGTAATCAGTTTACTCTTTAAAAATGTTTAACTATGATATCATTTTAAGATCAGGCTTGCGAAATTTACAGAGACCATTCCTGCTAATTTAATTTACAAATATTCTTAACTCCAGGAAGAGATTAGCTAGATCTCCTCTTGGCCATGGGTCATTTCTTGTGCAATATCATTATCCCAGAAATCCATCTTTTAAAAAACTGTAAGCCTTGAGCATTTCTTTAAATTGAAAATGTTTTTCTTTCACATTGAGTCCTAATTCTCTGCCTTGCAAGCTGAAGAGGATATTTTCCTTCTTAACCAAATCTGATAAATTTTAATGCTCACTGAAGTTAACCTATATGGAACCATGAAACTGAATAAAAACATTTTTGTTTGTAAGTTCCTCATGAATACTTACATTTAAAGCGGGAAAATATGTCTGCTTTATAAGCTCTGGAAAGAAATATAGAGTGCAGAACCTGTTCCCAGCCCTGCCCCCAACCCCACCATGTCAGCCTGTCTCCTATTCCTTATTGAAACTCACAATTCATCTAGATTCAGCCGGGCCCATCTGAAGAGCCATCACTCTGTTTCCAGGCCCCTATTCATTAAGTGGGTTAGAATGAGTTTTTTATCTGCATCTTTTGTTGCTTACAGGCAGAGTAACACATCCGTCACTTTTTAGATCTCATTTACTGAAGACTTGGTAACCGAATGTGATGCCAGAAGGGAGCTCTGGCCTTCCATTTATTTAACGTATCTGAAAGCCATGGCCATATTCTCTCTACTCTGTGGCTGACTCTTACACCAAAGAGCATATCTTTGCTTTGAAAAATTACATATTTGATTTGAAGACAGAGGGGCTGATCTAGATGATTCAGACAAATAAGCAAATTTAAGGCATTGGCACAAATATAAGCAAAAGGTGCAAACTTAAGGCACTTTTTTATGATGAAATGCTCAATGTGTTACAGAATATTACACTTTAAAAACCCACCATATACTCACACTGCAGCCAATCAGTGTGAGAGTATTCTGTGTTTTATTGGAAGCATTAATATTTCTTTTAAGGTAAGGCAGAGCAGTCATCTCACATTGTTCATTTGTTCTTTGATTCATTTATTTATTCATTTATTATGGGCCATTTCCTCCCAGGGTACAATGTTTATGATGCCCCTTGTAATTGCAGAAGACCTGACCATTACCTAATTTTCTTTTGATCTTTACCACCTGTTTCCTTAGTGCACTGTCCTGCCTCAGGCCAGCTATAAAATTAGCAGTTTAACATCCACAGTGCGGGTTTTTCTTGCACTTTTGCTGTTCCTCATGTACTATTACACCAAATCTTTTTTATCAAAACATACATAATAACCAGAGGAAAGACTACATTAGAGTTAACAGATTGTCAAGCACCGTCAATTCAAGGAAAATAAAAAGCAAAGCCAGGAACATGCTGTGCAGTATGGCCCACTAGTGCCCTCTACCCAGGAGTGTAACATAACGTGCACTTCTGCCACCAGCTCATCAGTCATTGAAAAACATGTATTAACTATATTGTTCTTACTTGAAAGGATGCATGTATCTTAAATGGAAAAAATGGCGGGGGGGGGCAGGAATGAACGGTGGTATAATAAATGGGCATTGCACAAACTATGCTTATAATTGAAGCTGTCAGAGTAGATGAGATTATCAGAGAAAAATATGTAAATAAAAAGAGAGAGACATTCAGGCAAAATTCTGAGGAAACCTATTTAAGGGATCACTATAGAAAGGAGAGCCAGCAGAGGCGAACAAGGAGTGGCTTGAGAGGTAGGAGCAAAACAAGGATGCTGCAGTAATAAAATCCCAGAGAAGAGTCCTTCAGAAGGAGAGTTGGACTCCGCAGAGAAGTCAAGATAAGGCTCAAGCTATGGGCATTAACATATGTTTGGTTTCTTTGCCTCCCACCCCAATTAATAAGCCAATGATTTTTAGATGGTGTATCTTGTAATTAAGATATCCAATGACAATTTTACGGTTACATAAACTTTGGGCTAAAGTACATTGATCCTTCCCTACACATAGGTAAAAGTCCTCACATGGGCAATGAGAAACATTGTTTTTACTAAACATAGGTGATTCCTTTTGAAAGGCAAGGGACCATCCTCAAGCCCTGACTCAGCCGAGCATAAACTCAGGTGGCAGATAACACATACATTGCATTAGGCACAGGATATATGGTAGTAAACACATACAGAATCAGGGAGCACAGGAGGAAACCTGAAGCAACAAAAATGACAGCAGAGGGAGCCAGTGAAGAACTAGAAACAGTGCCTTGGGCTCTCAGTGCAGCACTACCCATCTTGTCCTTCAGTAATTCTTGAGGGTATTATATAGTTACGTGACAGATTTAATATTCTACTAACTATTAAATAATAATTATCCTCTGACATTGCAATGTTTTATTCTGTACCAGTTTCAGTATGTAACTAATTTTTGGAATTGTACTAAAAACCTATGTCTGTTAGTGTTAATAATGATAGATCCTGAATACTCATAAATGCATTATTTATTGAAAGCACAACATGGGCTTGCACAGTGCCATACTCTTCATTAGCATAAAATCTAATCTTGACAACATAATATGGGGTGGGTATTATTGTTTCTATTTTGAAGATGAGGTAAATGAGGCTCAAAGTCTTAATTATTTGCTTAAGTCCACATATCAGAAAGTTAATGAAGGCATGTCTGTCTGACACAAAAGCCATGTTCTTTCTATTATACAACTCTGGTTCAAGGTCCTGGCATTCATTTTCAGCTCTTCATTTTTTTCAAGTCACTGAGACTCAGTGATTATATTAATGTGTTTGTTTCTCTTAGTCTAGTGATAACATGAGTAATTAAATTCAACTTGTCTGGAAAAAGTAGAAGTAGCATATATCAGAAAATTCAGTTAGAGGAAATTTTTTTAAGCTTCAGAAAGGTTGAGCCACATACATTGATCTTCTAAAGAAAAAGCAAGATTAGGATGAATAGGAAAAGACTGTTAAAAATGACAGTACCTAGGAAGAAAAAGTCCTTAAAACTTATTACATTAGGCCCTTATAAATAGCCCAGGTAGCTTATTAAATATTTGCCTCTGCAAAGGCCTCTTTATGCAGCAGGGAGTCTAAGGAGAAGTCCTGTAGCAACAAAGCACCCCGTCTCTCCTGGAGCTGACAGCTCTGTAGAATACCATGCGGGACTGGCAGGATTGCTTCCTACTCTGAACTGAGAAATACCTGTGTCTTTAAACTGAGAAAGAATTCAGAATCACAAAGAATACAAAAATCCAGCTAGCTGCTCTAATGATGACAGAATTTCTCCAGGAGAAGCATACTTCGTATAAAGATCCTTAGCATGTCCTTCTCAGCTCCTTATGGAGTAAGGGCTAGAAATTGAAATGAAGTTTTCATATGAAAAATGAGAAAGGATAGTGCTGTTCATTGTCATCAGTGCCTGGCTGGTGTTTCAGCCAAACTTGAAGGAGAGTGAGCAGTCAATATAATGTTGTATAGAAATGCGTGTGTACTATAACATAGGTCCTGAATTGTACAACTTAGTCAGATTTGTGGTCTTGATTGTCAATCTTTGTGTGTACATTAGAACATATTTTTCAAAGCCAGAGCCAATGTTTCATATAACATTCTTAACTCCTCAGCTCCTGCCATACTGCCTAGGACGTTTATATTGGATTCTCAAAAAAGAAAATTTGACTTGATGTTCTTTCCTCAGAGCTCCCTAATATGTTCCTTAAGAAAAATTAACTAATTGCTTTGGTAAATACAAATGGACTCTAAATAGCTCTTCTATATTTGACCACTTGATGAGTGGTCATTTCTTTATATAGAAATGGAAATGCGTGTCTCCTTATAAGATTAGAGAATTAAATTTAAAGCCTAGAATATAAAAGGTAATAGTCTTGTCATTAAATAGCCACTGAAGTCATGCCTCTTTTTGTACTGGGGGGGGGGGTTATTTACTAAAATTGGTTTCAAAATTATAATCTCAAGCATGCCACATTTCACATTATTTGGTACTTGGGAGCAGTGCTGTTTTCATTGTATATGAATGAGAAGCAAGGATTCTGATATCACAATTAATATTTTCTTTGTGAATTATTTCCATGTAGATTTCTTCAAACACTTCGCATCTGGGTGGTGCCGAACCTGTAAAACGCTGCGGAAAGTCTGCACTCTTTCAACTAGCGGAGGCAAGTTTCTATGAATATACTCAGATAAGCTCTGCAGAGGCAGAAATCATAAAGAGCCAGTCATAACAATATTCCTTAAACTGTACCATCTTACCTTTGACCATAAAGTGTTTTGTATCTAATGTTCAACAATGAGAGGGTTAACCTTTAATTTAGAAGAGGGGAAAAACTTGTTTGCTACTGAAAGTCCTTAAGCATTGAAAAAGGTTACCCAGGGAAATTGCAAAATTTTTTTCACAGGTGGTATTTTAAAATAAGGTCAGTTTTGTCTCTCTCAGATTGGTTAAATAAGTCCAGCCTGAACCCAAAAGAATGGCCCAGGTCGTTTTCCTCTTCACTGATTTTCTTATAACATCTATAAATCCCTACAATGCACTACTTTTTTACCAGGTGGTTGATGTTTTAATTTTTGTTGCTTTTAGTGAAGAACTCAGTGACATGTTGGAAAGTCTGGGTTTATAACACCTATTAGTTGTGCATGTGATGGGACGTGCGTTTAAATTCCTTTGGCAAAGTAGAAAATGTGTTTTCATAAATCCCGTATGGGACAGAACCCTCACTTGGTCGGGATGGGACGGGGAAGAAGATGACAGAAGCAGTTTTTCAGGTGGGCAAGAGCAATGACTTTCTCTGCCAAGATATGGCTGCTCTCTGCCTTAAGGGAACATGTGAAAGAAATGTCTTTGTCTTTAGCACCAGGACACCATACTAACAGTTCTTTCTTTTAGGGAGAAAAACTAGGAGGTACAAAAATGGGTAACCAGAACTCTCTTATAATATCAATTTTTTCTTTTCTCTCATGTTTTATGGCCTTCCTTTCCATGAGTTCCTGTTGAGGGTTTTGGGGTTTTTTGGGTTTTTTTGGAGTTATATAGGTGTTTTAAATCTTTTGTATTTTTTTAACTTAATGGGATGACCTATTATTTTTCTAAATTTTATGGTAGCTTGTATCATCAAAATGTAGGAGTTTTAAATATTTTGATATTAAGTTTTTAAACTCTAACCAGATATAAATTAGAAATATAAAAACACAAAGGCCTGAAACAGTAAAGAACCCCTGCCCCTGCTGAAAAAAAAAACCCCAGAATTATCATCTAGAGGGAGGGCGCCTTGTAGTTCTTTCTCCCTCTAGGTGAGTGTTCTAGGACCCTACCTACCTGTATCAGAGTACGAGCTGGCGTTGTTGTGAGAGGCTGCATTGGCTTCAGTGAATTTTTTTTGAAGACTCTGTCAGTGCATTTGCCCATTTTATGTTGGATGATTTACGAGAGCATCTGCCCACACCAACGCTGAGTGTTGAACAGATTTTGACCAAAACATACATGACCTTTGTGCCCCATCCTCCCCATTCACCTGACCTCGCCCTGAGGAACTTTTTTTGTTTGTTTGTTTCCCTGGATGAGAAAAGTCTTCTAAGGGGAATGTTTTGCCAGTGTGGAAGAGGTGAAACAAAAAATGACAGAAGCACTAAAAGGCATCAAAATAGACGAGTTCAAAACTGTTTTGAGCAGTGGAAAATACATCTCTATAGACTGCATCACATGGAGAGTATTTTGAAGGTGACTGAAGTTTAAACATGTGAGAATAAATACACAATTTTTGTATACATAAATTTCTGGTGTTTTGGGTCTGCCCTTGTAAACAGTAGAACAAACTAACCCATTTTTGTCTGACAGTAAGCTGAGATGGTGTTTCTTGTGTAAGACAAATTAAGGCCCAAACAGAGTCTGCAAATGAGTAGAAAACTTAGAAAGACCACAGGGAATAGTTTTAAAAAGGACTGGGTAAATCAGTAGCAAATTACTACTTCAGGTAGAATTAAAATGGTAAAAATCTGGCAACAAATACGCTTTTGGAGTTAGAGTTATAAACAAGAACTTAGTACACAGAGGGACTATGAGGAATGAATTTTTCTAATATCTTTAAGACTATATAGATGGTCAAGACAATTTATTTGGAAGAAGTGATTATTTCTCTTGAATAATAGGAATGTGTAGCTCTCTCTTCATTTCTTGGTTGTGTATATATACACACATATACAAACAGATACATAGGTTTTTTATTTTTTCATTTAAGTACAGAAGAAAACAAAAATATTAATTTGAAAGATACATGCACCCCTATGTTCATTGTAGTACTATTTACAATAACCAGGATGTAGAGGCAACGTAGGTGTGTCCATCAGTAGTTGAATGGATACACTTTTTTTAATTAAGCACTAAATTGTAAAACAACCTAACTTTCGATATTAATATATCTCTATTAAACAGTCATTTATTTAAAAGCATGTACCCTTGAGGTACTTTGCTGTGGAGCAGGGGTGCTAGAGAAATGAATTTGTCTTCTTATTTTCTTTCTTTTGCATAAGTCATAAAAAAAGGATTTCCTATTAAATCAGAGCTCATTAAAAAGAACACTCTTCTAATTTGTAGGGATGCATCCCAAATACGAAACAGATGCTATGGTTTAACAGATGTTTGAATGCTGGTATCATAATTTAAAGGGGTAAAATGACTGCAATAAGCCTATTCCAATTAGAGCAAATCAGCTTATACTCAGACTTAGTTTCTTGTAACATCTGAGTAAAAAATATATGCTTTTGATGAAACAAGATTTCTAAAAAAAAAATTTACCAAGAAAATCTTCTCACATTATATCTACCACATGAATTATGATGCCATGATGCTAATAGATTGTGTTTTAGAATAACATCCTAAAGCCTTCCCAGTTTCTAATTAAACATAAATATGTGCACAATGGATTAATCAGCATCTCCGAATAATCACCAGTAGAAATAATCTGCCTCAATTTTTTTAATCTGATGTGTACTTGATGCTCATTTTTCTTGAACTAAATATTTATTAATTATGTTGGATGCCTCTTTAAATAAGTATAACAGGATTTTAAGAGGATTATTTCTGTTGGTCAGATTGTCTGAAATCTGAAGGAGCACCTCTAAATTTGTATAGTCCAAAGGGAAAGTCTTCAAGAAACCACCTTCAATCTGGGTCAGACCCTGCTCTTCAGATTTATGGCCTAATTCAGCTACTATCCCATATACTTAACTACTACAGAGGTTTCTCCTCTCATCCCCACTCTAACCTCCAAGTCATCAGTGAGTGTGGGAATATCATAGGCTATCCGGTCATTCAAAATATTTTGGCTTTTTTCTTTGTTCTGAGGAGGAAAGGAGAGGCAGCTCTAAGAGAATCTCTGTTAAAAATTGGCTGTGGTATCTGAAAAAAGCAAGAAATGTCTTAGACATAGATTTACTGCTGTCCCTTTCAGCTTTGTGAGCAGGCAAAGAAAGAACTGGAGGAAGTTGGAAGGGAGAGACTTGGAATGGCCTGCCGCACTCTGTTTTGGTGTTGTACAGATGTGTGAGTTTCTAGGGTCAAGTGGACAAATAGAAAGCAGTTCAGCTTGGTCAGACAAGAGGCCATCGGACGGTCTGGGGAGGGGTTGGCAGAGGGCTGGCTTTGGACGTAGCACAGACTCACACATCAGGAAGTATTCAGTAGAGACCACTTTCCTCAGGACACTGTGGTGAGCTCCCATAAACCGGAGTGATGTTCAGCTGGTTTGCGTCAGGACAGCTGTCCTGACACTAAAATACTTGGCAGTTAGTACAAAGACTGACCCAAATCCCCTGAGCATCCTTGTAGCAATGCTACCAGCATCTCTGATACTTCCAGCAACTAGAGGGCACACCAGGGGCCTGTAGAACCCTGTTCAGCCCTGAGACCATATCCCTTCTGACTGGTTTGTACCCCTGTCTGTTAAATACTTTGTATATCATCCCTTCACTTGGCATCCCCCGACAAGGTCGCTCCATCTGACGTAGAGTTAGTTAGCAGGAACAGACAAAAAAGGCATCACCATGGGCAGTTAATCCTACCTCTGCCATTTCTTCTCTCCTCTAAACCAGAGGCTGTAGGCTTTGAAGAAAGGGCCAGGAACCAGCCAGCCCAAGAATTCACCACTCACCCTTCCCTATGTCCATTCCTGTAGGCTGGCAGGGGAGGAGGAATGAACGAGACCTCTCAAAGATAGGGCTTGTTGCTTGCAAGAAATATCTTCTCTTCGGTGAGAAGCAAGAAATATTACAGGCCTATGTTTACTGCTGGGCCCTACTTCCATTCGGGCAGGCAGAAAGAAAATCAGAGAAGTTGACAGCAAACACAAAGAGACTTGGATAGGCCTTTGCTCTCAGTTTTGGCACTGTATGGGTCCCTCTCTATTTCCCTGGACCGTGGACACTGGAACTAAAGATACCCCAGGGAAGGCCCCTCTTTGAGCATTTGATAGTCATTTTAAACTGTGTTGATTGTTAATAGCTGAACGTGACCTGAAAATTCTGGGATCTGTTCCAGGTGTTTTTCAGGAAATACTCCAGCTAGGAAGGGAGATTTGGCATATTGCTGCTGAGGTCAGGGAATTGAAAAAAATATAATCCTTTATGTTTGAACCTCCATGAGGTTCATACTGTTCAGTTAATCAGTTTCTTAATTGGCACAGGTACTAGTATAATGTATTGTGTTTCCTTTCATTTTGAAATTAATTGGGTCAGGTCATGTAAAGATCAGCAAAGCAACAAAGCATCCCCCAGAGATCGTTGTATATTATAGTTGCTATAGTTGGAAGACATTCAGAGACATCATTACCTGTACATTTTAGCAAAGGGAATTTCTATGCTTGAAGGTCCCTGGTACCAAAATTGACTAGTATAATAAATGGAACAGTTTATTCATTTATTCTAAGGACCATCAATTATCGAGGGCCTACTCCATGCCAATAACAGTGAGGCTGCTGAAGCTTCCTGCACATGCATATGATGATGATGATGACGATGAGGATGAGGATGAGGATGATGATGATGATGATGTGACCTGTGTGCCACCTTCTAAGATCAGTGGTGCAGGAACATTTTACCTCTAGGTGCAGTTCCAGTGTTTTGGTGTGCTACTAGGGGCTGGAGCATAAGCCTAAAACTATCACTG